ATTATAAATGCGAAAGTTTAGATGGATGGATGGATGGATGGATGGATGGATGGATGAATGTTTGTTAGCGTTTGTAGCTTAAACGGCTGAACGGATCTCCATGAAATTTGGCACAGGTTTCGAGCATAGTCGGGAAGAACACATAGGCTACTTTTTATCCCGGGAATAATTACGGTTCCCGTGGGATTCATTAATTTAGTTTTTTAATGTTTACTCGATCATTCTGGAACGGTTCAACATATCTTATTGAAATTTGGCACAGATATAAAACAAAGTCTGGAGTACACATGGGATAAGCTTCATCCCCGAGATATGTCCGGTTCCCGGGGGATACGTAGTTTTTTGTAATTTATAAAGTTCGTATGTTTTCTAATACTACGCGGGCGAAGTCGCGGGCAACAGCTCGTAGGTCATATTTTTTGATTTCATGCAAACGAAGTCACGAGAAAAAGCTAGTATTATTTAACTACATCACATTACTGAGCTAAAAAGTGTTCACTTTTATTTCAACTTAATCCGTGTTAAATTTAGTAAAGATATTAAATAAAGCGATAGAGCCTTTCTGTAATTTATTTTGTGTAATAACTTTGAAAGAAATAACTTCAGCACAAAGCTATCGCTATGTAAATACACGGGTTCGAGTTTCGAGATCAAGGACAAACTCGAGATGGTTTTGTGAAGCGTTATCGGCCACGCGCCATCCGCACCAAGGCCGGCGTTCGATTCCCGACAGAGATACGAAAAATACTAAATAATGTGCCAACTATTTTTTTAAATACACACGCTTGAGGAAAATGTGTTGGCAAAGCGTGGATTTTCATTACGCAAAGTCCTGGTGTACTGTTTTCATTTCTTTTAAAAAGAATCCTCATGAATTCCCGCTTCATTCTCGATATAAACTTTAATTTTCCTATTCCTCTATTTTCTTAGGAAACTTATGGTTTTATTTGCTGTGATTCAGAACAAATGCAAAGATCTCTGTCAATCCTTTTGAACAATAGATTAGATTTAACATCAAAACAATATCCTTATTCGATGTCTCGAGCGTCCGTCTGTCGGAGGCCTTATCGTGAGGCCGTGGGCCAAGGTCGGGCCCCAGTGCGCCACGCGCGACCCTTATACCAGGGACATGCGGCCCTGGATGAATACAAGGCCTTTAATTAATTCAACAGTATTGTGTTAAAGTACCTTTTAGGATATTTTTTTAAAGATATAGGTAATTTTTAGGTTGAGAACGTCGGTGGCGGTTTAAGCACTTGACTTGCAATCTACAGGTCTTGGGTTCGTATCACGCCATGTGCCAATGTGATTTTCGAATTTTCATATATACATAATTTACCCAACGTCTTTACGGTGAAGGAAAACGTGATGCAACCTTCACATATCGTCGAAGAAATTCAAAAATATGTGTGAAGTCAACCAACCCGCATTGGGCCAGCGTGGTTGACTATAGCCTTGTCACCTTTATTAGGGTAGGCTCCGAACCCCTCGGTGGGGATGTATAGTGAGCTGGTGATGATGAGGTATTTTTTTAAAGGATGGTATTGAACTGTAGTTGAAAGATATTTAACAAGATTGGTCATTGTAATGCTGATAATTTATTTCTACATCTAAACTAATGTTATGAAGAGGAAACATTTGTGTTTTTGTATGTATTAAAATAACTCTAACACTACTATATCGAGTAACTTATAACACTCAGACGAAGTCGCGTGAAACATCCAGTACAATAAATCTACTCGAAAGGTGACTTGTTTTAATTACATAGAAGAAAAGAATAAATCTTTAACTGGAATTTAAATCGTTACAGCCTTAGAAATAAAAGCGGTATAAGTTAAACTTAGGAATAAACTGAGCATAAGCAAATATTAGTACAAATTTCGTTTTTACTCAGTTTATTCCTAACTTTAACTTTATACAGTGTTTATTTCTGAGGTTTCTAAATTATATTTTCCTGAATTAACTTAATTGTGAGTCAGTTTCTTATCTTAATATACCGGATTCAGGGTCAAACAGCTAACATCCGACGTAATGTACACAAAATCATTTTGTTATGCAAATAGATTTTCTCAATAGTAATGTTTGAAGCTGTATGGAATACACTGGGAACAGAGGTATAACTGAGATGCTTATCTCTACTTTTGTTATCGAAAACAACAATAATTTTGTAATGGAAGTTTTTTTTTTATAACATAACGTGGCAAACGAGCACGCGGCCACCTGAATCCGCCAAAATGGCGAGGCGACCGCTGCCCATAGACATACGCAATTGCAGATGCGTCGCCTACCCTTATTCGACGGAGGAGGAGACGCACATAAAGAGGATATTTCCCCTTCCTATGCATCTCCTCTACTGTCAAATCCACTTGCTCTTCCCATCCTCTCCTTATAAGAAAAGGGTTGTAAAGAGAAAGGGACTAAAATTAGGCCTCCGGCACCACACTCATCAGACGAAACACGGAATTGCTTCCGTTTCACGCCTGTCTTCTGTGTGGTCGTGGTATTACACCGGGCGTGCCGGCCTATTCGTGCTAAGATGTTAAAGCGGGCACTACCACTCTAAAGTACAGCGGAGACTCGCCTTTACGAAAACATTGTAGAGAAAAGTATCCTACGCTAGTTTCCACGTAGTTTACATGACCGATTTGAGAGTTTGCCAATTTTTTCTAAGAATTCACAACTCTTTTATGGTGGTGATCCATTACACAGGGCGCGACCCTAGTTTGGACACCAGTCCCCCCGCCAAAGGGGAAAATTAATAAAGTTATTTTATTTTATTTTATTTTTTATTTATTTTTAGGACAACGAAACTAACTATTTGAATGTCCTAATATGGTAAAGAGGTAATTTTAGTGCAAAAAGTGAATTAACAAGAAAAGGAAATAGGTTAAAACCTGAAAAAAAGTTTCGGGGAAATTACAAATGTGAAATAGAACGTGTGAAAACATGAACAAAAGCAAAATGTTAAGATAAAATAAATATGCACGAGGACGAGAGGGTATTTATTATTTGTTTGAATTTACAAAAGTAAAATGCATTGTTTTCTATTCTTTGAGCTTTGAGTTTTCTGAAGACTTCTAATGCATAGGGCTGCCAATTTTCTAAAAACTTAGCTCCAAACTAGCGGCATAAATTACAATTTAAAACAACGTCAGTCAACTACAGTATTTTAGTTGTTACATTGATGTTTGAAGATGTATACCGTAGGTCGAATATACACTGAATAAACCCGATTGGTGGCAGCCCTGATATACGAGCAGAGTCGCGCGGGGTCAAGGTCGCCGTGACCTCGCGCGACCCCGCGACGACCCCGTATCACTTATCAACACTGGAAGCTGCATACAAGAGCCACTCAAAGTTCTGCGTTGGAACTTTGAAATCTCTAAGCAGCCCCTAATCGTTGATCGATAGTTAAGACGTCTAATGCTACCACATTCAAGTTAATGTAACTTGCAGGACAAGTCTGTATTTTTTTTTATTCTAGTGCTCCTCCGACATAGATAGGTCAAAGTCCTTGTTTGCTTTTAGGATTTTCTTCTTGATCCAAATGTGTTTTTTTTGTTTGTTTTGAATTTTACTGTCTTTAATTTCTTCATTGTTATATTATTTTACACTTCTTTGGATCCTTCATAATTGTGCCTGTTAAGAAACATAAGAAAATTCATAAGAATGAAAGGACAAGTCGGTATTAAAATTTGAAACAATTTTTACACGTAATGTTCGCGTAAATCATATTTTTTTATCTTACTTTTTTGTTAATATAAATGTTTATGTGAATGTACGTGTGTTACTACAATCTCCATAATGGCTTACTTATGATCTTGATGAACTTTAACAAGGATGTTGAATATAGTCTGGAAGAACATATACGCTACTTATTTTTTTAATAATGCGCGAACGGAGACGCGGGCAAAAGCTAATTAGAAATAAATGTAGCTATTTTGATAATTTCTTCTAGTAATTGATTTTTATTTGTGTTTTGATAAGTTACTTGTTTAGATTCAGGCGGGAAATCCTTATCGTTGTTTTCTAAACACAAGACCACAGACCTTTCACTATTTTTTCACAAGGAAATGACATTTCGTTCACGGTTCAAAACGTTTTCGCATGAATCATTCTTATCCTAATGCTGGTTACTCGTAAATTGCTTGTTTGTCGACTTATTAATTCATTTGGGGGCCTCAGATCAATTGCCATGCTTCCACCACGTGACAACACGCGTCTCAATTGTACAAACTAATTGCTTCTTTGTACGAGCTAGGAGTCGATTGCTATAGAGTCAACCCGAATTAAGTATACACTGTTTGAAATTAATATTAAAATATTTTAAACTAGCCCGCGGCTACGTCCTCGTGGAATTAAACAATACAAAAGTGAGTAGCCTATGTGTTCTTCCAGACTATCCTCTACATCTATACCAAATTTCATCGAAATCCGCTCAGACGTTTAGGCTACAAACTCTAACAAACATCCATCCATCTAAACCTTTGCATTTATAATATTAGTAAGATAATAGTGCAATGAGCTTACAGATTGACAAAATCTACAAGTACACGTAACTTAGTTATAATTTTACTGATATTATAAATGCGAAAGTTTAGATGGATGGGTTATTGTTAGAGTTTGTAGCTTAAACTGCAGAAAGGGTCTCGATGAAATATGCATATTGAGGTCCGTTCACCAAATATTTTAGATGTAGAACATAGTCAAGTCATAGGCTACTTACTTTTGTTGACCGACTTCCCAAAAGAAGGAGGTACTCAATTCGTCTGTATGTTTTTTTTATAACTTCGCCGTTAGTGGACTGATTTTCATAATTCTTTTTTTTACCGGAAAGGTAGTGCTTACAGGTGGGTCCCACTTTTTTGTTGGATTTTTTAAGGCTACGACGTAGTTAAATAGTTTAGCTCAAAATCGCGCGATGAAATTTGGGGTCTTTTTTTACCGACATTCCTAAATAGGAGAATTTTTAACAATTTTGTTTATTGTTTTGATTTCAGGTTGCCATAAAAATAATAGACAAAGCTCGATTAGATGAAGATAATTTGAAAAAGACATTTCGTGAGATCGCTATCATGAAGAGGATGAGGCACCCGCATATTGTTAAATTATATCAGGTAATGTCCATGTTTTTTTATTTCTTTTTTAGACGTAATAGATGATTTTTAATGAATAGTTTAAGGACAATTCGATAAGTCTATCGTACTTAAGAGCGGGCGCACACTGAGGACACTGACTAAACTGACAACTGTTGTGCGATTGTCGATTGTTTCGCAGCCAATTCTACTGTTTAGTTGCACAACTAAAAATCGAGTAATGTCCGCACCTTTATATAAGGTCATAGGATTCAAAGCGAAACTAAACAGTTGTGCTATAGTACAACAAAGGTGCGCGTGCTCTAATATTTGGTCGTAAAGTCAATTTTATATGATAGATTTTAATTATTATTAAAGTTAATTACGTTCTTCATGCAATATCCAGTTGAGTATTATGCAAATGACAATTATAGGATAAAACTATACGTGGGAGCCCGTAAACCCATTGGAAGTTTGCGAAAATTTAAACACATTGTATCTACATATTTCAAATCATATATCAGATAGTAATATGGTTTTTTATAGATTTAAAGATAATCACTCTGTTTCCAGGTTATGGAGAGCGCACACACAATATACCTAGTCACAGAATACGCCTCTAACGGGGAAATATTTGGTAAGAGAAAAATATTTGTCTTGGATTCATTTAAAAAATTACTTTGCTCTTATGAGGAAAATTATATGCTTTGCTCTTATAAGAAAACGATTTTTTCTCACGCGGCTCATCCGCATGAAATGATTGCAAATGCCAAAATTCAAATGCACAAAAGACAACGAAGGCTTTGACGTTAAAAAAATTACCGTTACCATGGCAATGTTGCTTCCTCTTTATGGTCAGTTTGTAGTTTATGGTCCTTTTCCCACGTGGGTTTTTCGAATTTATTTGCCCCATAAGTTTAATAGTTTGAAAACAGCCTAAAGCGTGTTGTAAGTATAGGGTTTTTTATGAAATAAAATGATTATTAAAAAATGTAGAAAAATATTAGAGGAAGTTTGAGTGTAGCCCCAGTAGTAAAGAAGGTAAGGAGTAAAAGGTTAGCATGGTATGGGCATGTTATGAGGAGGGATGAATGGCATGTTAGTAGCGTAGTACCTAAAAAGAGATGGATGGATTGCGTGTAAGGTGACATGAACAAGAAGGGAGTGATGACTGAGATGACGTATGAAAGAGTTATGTGGAGGACAAAAACCTGTTGCACCGACATTACTTTGTTTTATATCTGTGGCAAATTTCAATAAGATATGTTGAACCGTTGCAGTATGATCGAGTAAACATTAAAAAACTAAATTAATGAATCCCACGGGAACCGTAACTATTCCAGGGATAAAAAATAGCGTATGTGTTCTTCCCGACTATGCTCTAAACCTGTGCCAAATTTCATGGAGATCCGTTCAGCCGTTTAGGCTACAAACGCTAACAAACATCTATCCATCCATCCATCTAAACTTTCGCATTTATAATATTAGTTATAATATTACAGATATAAATTTAAATGTCATTTTAGTATACAGCTGATAGTCGCATTGTACGTGTTAACGTTATGACGTCACATTCCAGATCACTTGGTGTCAAAAGGCCGCATGCCGGAGTCGGAGGCTGCTCGTATCTTCGCACAGATGGTGGCAGCAGTTGGTTACTGCCATTCTCGCGGAGTTGTACACAGGGACCTTAAGGCGGAGAATCTACTCCTGGATAGAGATATGAATATAAAGGTTTAGTATATTGTTATATGCTTCTTCTATACTAGTCAATACTAATGTTCTAAAAAGAATAGATTTGTATTTTTTATGTATTGAATTAACTCAAAAACTACTGGGACGAACTCAAAAATTCTTGCGCTATCAAAAAGTTATGTTTTCTTTACTGATATAAAAAGAAAAGCTTTGTATTTTTGTATTTATTGAAATAACTCAAAAACTACTGGAACAAATTCAAAAATTCTTGCACTATTAAAATCTATGTTATCTATACTAATATTATAAAGAGAAAAGCATTGTATTTTTGTATTTATTGAAATAACTCAAAAACTACTGGGACAAATTCAAAAATTCTTGTTCCATTAAAAACTATGTTATCACTGAGTGTCATAGGCTATGCTTTTACTTTTTGCACAACCTGTGTTTATATAAACACTAGCAGTTGTTGAGACTACGCCCGCGTGTAATTAAAAAAAAATTAGCCTATGGTACTCACTGATAAAGTAGCTTTTCAATGGTAAAATAATTTTTAGAATCGACCCAGTAGTTTTTGAGTTATTTCAATACATACAAATCTTTCTCTTTATAATATTAAGTATTTCTTATTCGCACTGTAAATAAGATACTGGTGTTTTAAACCTGGTTCCGCATTCAACGTGTTAATGTTAGTGTTATACAGTTGGCAGATTTCGGGTTCAGTAATGAATACAGTGCGGGTGCGACGTTGGCCACGTGGTGTGGAAGCCCGCCGTACGCCGCGCCGGAACTCTTCGAAGGCAGACACTATAATGGACCTAAAGTGGATATTTGGGTATGTATGTACATTATGTAATTTTATATTGATTTAATACGTAACTATTGTGACTTGAACTGTCTAGTGAAAAATCTCATTGCTGATGTTTCCGTTTAATTTTAAATTTTAGTCCATTTCCCTTTCCACCCTTTTCTTAAGAGGAAAGGATGGAAAGGAAAAGTGGATTTGATGGTGGGAGAGACGCATAGGAAGGGGAAATATCCTCTTTATGTGCGTCTCCTCCTCCGTCAATGAAGGGCAGGCAACGCATCTGCAATTGCGGATGTTTATGGGCAGCGGTCGCTTTCCATTTCGGTGGATTTAGGTGGCCGCTTGCTCGTTTGCCACCTTATAATATAAAAAAAAATTATTGTTACCTAGTGATTCATTGACCTAAGTTTCAACGGAGTAAAACTGTATACGTAGTTCTGTAACGTATTCCATGAAGTGCTCGAACTGAAAAGACTTACGAATTCTTAAATATTGTTAATAGTAGTAATCATTTTTTTATTTATTTTATAATTGTGATAGATTTTTGGATGGATGTTAGTTACGTATATCAAAAACGGCTTAACGGATCTTTATGAAATTTTACACAAATGTAGTATTTTACACAAGTGTAGTGAGTTACTACGTTTTTTGAATACAGTGCGGAATGTTTTTTGAACAAAGTTGCATGCATAAGCAAGTTATTTTACTCCCTTTTCCTTCCCACCCTTTCTCAAATAAGAAAAGGATGGAAAGGGAATGTGAATTTGACGGTGCAGGAGACGCATAGGAAGGGGAAATATCCTCTTTATATGCGTCTCTCATCCGTTATTGCTGATGTCTATGGGCAGCGGACTCTTCGTCATTTCGGCGGATTCAGGTGGCCGTTCATTTGCCACCATATTATATAAAATAGTTGTTATTTAAAGTATATAATTGTATATACAGTCGTTAGGCGTGGTGTTATACGTGATGGTGTGCGGTGCGTTGCCCTTCGACGGCAGCACGCTCAGCGACTTGAGGAACGTCGTGCTCAGCGGGAAGTTCCGGATACCATACTTTATGTCACAAGGTAAGTCACAACTTGGTTACTGACAATCGGAGTTAAGGCCTCCCTTAGTAACCAATTAACTAATACAATATCACGACCACACAGAAAACAGGCGTGAACAGCAATTCCGCGTTTTGTCTGATGAGTGTGGTGCTGGAGGCCTAATTTAGTTCCTTTCCCTTTTCACCCTTTTCTTAAGAAGAAAGGATGGGAAGGAAAAGTGGAGTTGACGGTGGAGGAGACGCATAGGAAGGGGAAATGTCCTCTCTATGTGCGTCTCCTCCGTCAATGAAGGGTAGGCAACGCACCTGCAATTGCGGATTTTTATGTGCAGCGGTCGCTTTCCATTTCGGTGTATACAGGTGGCCGCTTGCTCGTTTGCCACATTATATTATAAAAAAAAATAGTACTCTAGGCTTGGTTCAGTAAGTTTGAAATGGGTTTCCATTATTGCCTGATAGGAAAGGAAGCGACTATTTTAGTGGACAATGGTGCCTATACTAAGCATTGTGGTGCAATCCTTAAAATCTTTCCATAAATTAATATAAATCATAGTTAAATAGTTTGCTTATTTGAGAGAAAAATAATTATAGTATCCAGAATTTTCTGAATATACAGTTTGTGAAGTAACAGGGAGTCAGCTTTTTTAGCTTGCCTGCTTTGGAGACAAATCAATTGTTATATTTTGTTCCTATAGTTGGACTGAAATCTTGTATTTGTTTTCAGAATGCGAGCACCTGATTCGTCACATGCTGGTGGTGGAGCCGGAGAAGCGGCTGTCGTTGCGCGGCGTGGCGCGCCACCGCTGGCTGGCCGCGCACCAGCCGGGACCTGGACCTGGTCTGCCAGGTATCTCCCACCCCACCCCACTATACACCACAAATAAACATATAGAGACAATTAAATTTAATCAATAGATGGAAATGCCTGGTACCCCCTCCCCTTCCTTACTACTAAACAAATTATGACAGTTCATTCCAGCTACATTTCACTGGCTTGTCCCCCAATCAATGTGACCTGTTTAACAGACGCGTCGGAGGGCGCGTGCACGTGTCACTGCGAGGGGGAGGAGGTGGCAGCGGAGGGCGCGCATCACCACAAGGTGTTAGCTCACATGCAGGCGCTGCCGGGACTCACAGCGGACCTCGTGCTGCAGGTGAGACTACAAACACGCACAAAACACAACTTTTGACTAATGACGTCATATCCCGTTTATATGTTACATTTTCATATTAACAAAGACATTTTACACTACAAACTTACTTTACAAATTTTCACTAGTACTTTCTCTAAAAGGTATATGTAAACAATAATCTGCTGACGTCAGACAACAAAAATAAGATTTTTTATAACTACTGTCCTTAAATCATATTTCAACTTGGTCACCATCGCCAGAGAAGGATATTTTCAACTTTGTGACAAGATCTCATTCCTGTTCTAGTAATACTTCCATGATTACATAAGTTGCGTGGAAAATAATAAAAAAACGAATTGAATACCGCTTTCTTTTGGGAAGTCAGTCAATAAAAGTGTAAACGAGATGGAGGGAAAGTTAAAAGACAAAAGTCAAAGTAATCGGCGTTTTACATAACAAGGAAATAACTTGTGCGGGTTTTAGTGCATTTTTTTAAAGTTTTACTTGTAAATCTATATAAATCAATAAATTTTGACGTAGTGAAAATTTGGATGGATGGATGGATGTTTGTTAGAGTTTGGCTGAACGGATCTGGATGAAATTTGGCAAAGATGTAGAGGATAGTCTGGAAGAACACATAGGCTACTTTCTTTTGCTTTTATTAATACCACGCAGACGGAGTCTCGGGCGAAAGCTAGTTAGTAAATAAACGTATAGTAGATAATTTTGATGTTTGTTTCCAGTCGGTGCAGGAGGAGCGCTTCGACCACATCTCAGCGATATACAATCTGTTGTTGGACAAGCTGCGCCGCCGCACCGCGCACAGGAACACCATGCATAGAGGTTACCTCATACTATTATAAATACCAAAGTATGGATGGATGTTTGTTAGTTTGTAGCCTAAACCGACTATACTTTGACATGCGTCTTAAAATTGAATTAAAAAAAACAATCATATAATCTATGTTGTCTTAAATGTTATGTTCTATATGTGTGCCTAATTCCATCGAGATCTGTGCAACAGTTTAGGCTACAACTCTAACATCCATCCATCTAAACTTTCACATCTCACTAATATAATAAGGTCCCCTCTCGGGCGCCCTTGTGCCTAGTCACTCCATGAAGCATCCACCGAAGCGACTTAAGAGCTCGGTGACCCCCAATCCGGTAATAACGAAGTAACGGCTCGTGTCAAGGCTCCTGGGGGAGTCTTCGAGCTTAGTTATTCATAAACGAGGTTTAGGCTAAGCGCCTGCGTTCGGCCTCAAGTCCGGTGAAGCTGTAAATGTCTCTTCAAGGCAAACATTGGCCATTTAAAACAAAACAAAATAAAATAAGGAAATATTAATTAATTACAGACTCGCTGGATTCTAACAGAAGTCAGCCGTTGGATCTCACTAGCTGTAAGGTAAGTAATTATTTAACCCACTTGGAAAAGGAGGAGGTTCTAAATTGTTTAATTAATCGTAACAGGAGGAGGTAAATTGTGTGTTTAATGTATTACAGAACACGGAGGAGGAGCAGATGGAGGCGGAGGAGTGCAGCTCGCAGGAGTGCCTGGTGTCCATTCCCTGCGAGCCTGTCGACTACGTCATGGATAGAGACGATAACTTGGAGAAGGTAAATCTTACTAATATTATAAATATGATTATAGAGGGATGGATGTTTCTTAATACAAATCTTGCTGGAATTTGACATAGATGTCGAACATAATTTGAAAAAAAAAGTACTAAGTAATTAATTTTTTAATTTTATGCGGGTAAAACATAGTGGTACATAATATAAAAACCTAAGTTATAGTTAGTTTATTTAAGCTCCAATCCTATCTATCTTAAGTTAGTGGACACGCTCACTGCGGGTTGAATTTTTCTTAAATATATTTTTATAAGTTCTATCACGTTTTCTTAATTATAAAACTTACTGCAAACATGCTGTAAGCATAGTTCATTTAATTCGATAATGTCCGTGTGACGAACAAAAAAACATACTAAACTTTTTTATATTAAAAAAACTCGAATTAAAGATTCCACTGTGGAATTCTTTTTACTATAGTTAGTTAATGCAATTTGTTTGTTTTTGCCAAGACCCACTTTGGGTCGCTGCGCCAACACAGTAAGTAGTAAGTAAGTAATTTGTTTGTTTTAGTTCGGAGAGTGCGGCGCGCCGGCGGCGGAGGAGCGGCCCGCGCCGCCCCCGCCCTCCGCGCGCCGGCACACCGTCGGCCCCGGGGACTGCCGCCACGCACAAGTACACAAGGTTTTTATATCATAAGGTGGCAAACGAGCAAACCCGGAAACGCATCTGTAGTTCCTCTAGTATTGCGGATGTCCATGAGCGTCGTTACCCACCTCTGTGTTTGCCCCTTCTCTTGTAATAAACAGCGACCTGAAGTCAAACTGGCAAAGCGACCCCCGCCCAGACATTTGTTATAGCGGTGTCTACCCTTAATCGACGGAGGAGACGCAGATAAAGATGGTTACCCTTCCTATGCGTCTCCACCTTCCCTTCCCATCGTTCTCTTATAAGAAAAACGGTGGGAAGGAAAAGGGACTAATATTGGGCCTCCAGCACCACACTCATCAGACGGAACGCGGAATTGCTCCCACTTCACGCCTGTATTATGTGTGGTCGTGGTAATCCACCGCGAGAGCAGACCCTACAGTGCGAAAATGTAAAAGTGGGACCACTGTTAATCTATAAATCTAAATAATAGATCTATTCAAATATCTTGTTGGCTCGGAACATGGTGGCAGAACACAATTTTAAGTGAAATACGCGTTAGCCGTGGAGTTGCTAAAGCCGTAGTATTCAATGTAACAAATTACACTTAGCTGTTTTATTTATAACACTAAAAACTTATATAAGCATTTTAAACGTATTTCTTATTAGAATGTATTCATGATCGGAAGATATGACAGATATAGTTTATAGTTAATTATGATATATTCAAAAACTTAATAAATACAAGCTTCAGAAGTTTTGTATTTGTATATTTAGGGACAAGGGCAAATATGTATACTTGTTACATTCATGTGGGAGGACGGTATATGACTGAGCTATCAAGATATTTGAATAGATGTATACTATAAGAAATTATCCGATTTTGGTAAAAAAAAATAGATAATAAAAGTTTTTTTTAATGTATTTCTGTGTATTGTTCTCAGCCCAGCGAGCTGTCGGGCTGCGGCGCGGCCTCCGTAGACCTACGCCCTGCGCCGCTCTGCGTGTCCGCACACTTTAATGTAATGTTTTATATATTCAAAAATTTTACCTTTATGTCTACGTACAATTAAAAAAACTAAATATTCTATGTCTTCTTCCAGACTATCCTCTACATCTATACTAAATTTCATCGAGATTCGTTCAGGCGTTTAGGCTACAAACTCTAACAAACAAACATCCATCTAAACTTTCGCATTTATAATATTGGTAAGATGTGAAAGTTCAAATGGATAGATGTTAGAGTTTATAGCCTAAACTGTTGCATAGATTTCGATGAAATTTGGCATAGCTATAGAAGATGAACATGAGAGCGTCGGTAGCTCAGTGGTTTAAACACTTGACTTGTAATCTACAGGTCTTAGGTTCGAATCCCGCCGTACCAATGTAATTTTCGATTTTTCGAATTTTCATATATACATAATTTACCCGACGTTCTTACGGTAAAGGAAAACATCGTGATGCCTGCACATATCAGCGAAGAAATTCAAAGATATGTGTGAAGACGACCAACTCGCGTCAGCGTGGTTGAGTATGGCCTAGTCACCCTAATTTAGGGTAGGCTCCGAGCCCTTCGGTGGGCACATATAGTGAGCTGGTGATGATAGAACATAAACAGGAAGAAAACATAGAATATTTGATTGTTTTGTTTCTTTTAATTCAGTATTATAGTTTGTATAAATATATTTGTATAGCAGCAAGCTTCGCCGAATGTATCCCTGTTGCCGAACACGAACTTGGCGGCGAAGTTACCAGCGGTGCAGCACCAGCCGCCGAGATACTTCAGCGTTAAAGACCAGCACCTCCTCAAGCCGCCGCACGCCATGCAGACACACGGTATACACATAGTATATTTATCTATTTAAAAAAACTTGTTACCTAACTGATTAAGTAAATTTAGTTAGGTAAATGGAACATGCCGGAATGACGAAGGAAACGCATAAGGGAGATATCCTCTCTATTTCTCTCCTCCTCTCCGTTCATTAAAGGTGGGCGCATCTGCTATTGCAGATGTATATAAGCTCGCTATTTCGGCGAACTCAAGTGGCCGCCCGTTTGTCATCTTATGATATAAAAAAATGTTTATAAAATTAATGTTTTTCCAGCGTCTTCGTTCGGTCGTCGTGCGTCAGACGGCGGCGCGCACGTGCCGCGCTGCGCCGACCGCAGCTGCTGCCGCTCCGCGCCCGCGCATCATGTACGTACTGTTAAGATAATAGGGAATATGCATGTATTTTTTTCTTTTTTTAAACGATTCTACTTGTTATAAAATAAACAAAAAAAATTGACGCGAAAATATTCAACCATTGAGCTAAAAATAATAAAATAAAATTACGACCATTTTCCAGCGACTAAAACGCGACCGGAGTTGTCATGAGACGATTGACGTCAATCGTCTATTCCATTCATAACTTACGCTCAGATGTCACTTCGACGTAAAACACAACAAAGTTTCTCAAGGTCAAAAAGTCAAAAATCGATTCATTTTTATTATTCCTAGTACAAATAAGTGGTAATTAATAATTATATTCATTAATTTTTTTTATTTTAAAGTTGGTTTTAATACCGTGTTTACAGTAAAATACTTCAAGAGTGTATTTCTATATAAACTAACGTAAATGAACTGTGTATTGACAACACAGCGCCGCCATATTAGATAAGCCTCTTGCTTCGACCAATAGTGTGCGTTTTAGAACTTAGCGAGGGAATTTGAAAAAAGACACTTTTTAATGATTAAATTTTGCCACTAAATCACATTATATTTAAAAAAATCCTTGCAGGAATGTTTTTATAGTAATAAAGTGTACTTAAAAAAAGTTTGGTACAATTTGGCGTCATATGCATATTGCCTATTATATTGATTGACCACATATTTTTTTTTTTAATTTATTTGTTTAATTATTTATTTTTAATTTACATGATTTCAAATAAATTTCTTTGTAACACTCGACTTGTACTCTACAGGTCTTGGGTTCGAATCCCGCCTTGTAGCAATGTGATTTTTGATTTTTCGAATTTTCATATGTACATAATTTACCTTTATTATAATAGTATAGAAGTATAGATAATATTTACATAGAAGATTATAATGTGTAATTTGTAAAATAAGTAATATTTGTGTCCAGGTGTCGGACAGCGGCACGGGCGCGCGGCCGGAGGACGGAGAGCGCACTGAGGAACAAGCTACCGACTCCGTATACAATACTAATTTATCAAGGTAAACACGGTTAAAATAAATAACTTCGCCAAATGGGCAAAACAGTTTTTTTAGTAACAAATCGAACAATTAATCTATCTGGTACACTATACTTGCTAACATATAATTTGCTGAATTATTTCTTGTACAAACTTTATTGTAACAATAAAAAAGTTAATTTCTCTACTAGCCCCCCTAACCCTCAGTTTTATAGCATTTTAGCAAATTCACTAATATTGAAGTGTTATTTGTGTTACCTTTTCATATCGTAGTATTCTTAGTTAAAAAAAATTGGAACGATTAAATTTGTATGTATGTTTGTATGGATGTATAGATACATGCAGAGCCGCGGCAGCAGCAAGAGACACACGATAGTGACGCCAGAGGACGCTGCGAACGTGGTCACCTCCACCTCCTGCATCGGACCTATGGTGAATACATTCAAATATACTAATACAAAAGATTGGATGGATGGATGTTTGTTACTATCTCCATTTTAATGAAATTTGACAAAAATATGGATAAACACAGGGTACTTAAGTGTTTTTAAATTACATACGGACGGTGTCGCGGTCAAAAGCTAGTACAAATACTTAAGTTTGATTGGATGTTTTTATTACATATCTTCAAAACGTCTGCACAGATCTGGATTAAATTAGACACAGATGTAGAATATAGTCTGAAAGAAAGCGCAGTCTAAGTTTCCTATGCAAAATCGCTAAAAGAATCCAGTATATTTATCTTACTAATATCATAAAGGCGAAGGTTTAGATGGATGGATGTTAGAGTTTGTAACCTAAAATCTAAACGGATTTCAATGATGATTATAATTCCACGCGGCCGAAGTCGCGGGCTAAAACTAGTATACAATATTTCTGTCTACGTGATAAATGAATAAGTATTTTCTCTTGCAGACGAGCACCTCTCCCTCTTCAACAGCCAACATTAGAATGAGACGGACAGGTCTCCTCACGGTGACGGAGCGGCCGCCGGGTGAGTGCATCTCTCTTACACTGCATACAAAATTACTGTCGTCTCTTTCACTCCTTTAGAAGAAAGGGACAACAGTATGTTTTGTAGTCGAAACTAGTTTGTTGGAGTGTTGTAGCATTAGTTGTGAAACGATTTTTGTATACGATTTTTTTTAAGTTTTTTTTTTATAGTGATGAATAAATCATCGTTATACAGAAGTTGTTTGTAGATGTAATAATAGCTTGTATTTTTTTTTATAATGTTTTGCAGCTGGAGTCTTCAAATGTTTGCAAATAAATTGATTTATGATACTTGTAATTAATAATTTTTTTTTTCGCAATTTTATTTGAAGACTCTTTTTTTCTCACTTATCAATTTTTAATATTTAATAGACACATGTTTTTGATATTTTACGTTGTATGCATTTAGTAGTGCATGCTGTTTTAATTTGCATTTTATTTGCTAATTTTTATTTTTTTTACCACAACCCTTCAGTTATAAGCCCAGAGCTGGTTATGGAAGTTGAGCGGCGAATGAACAGGAACTATTTACCACCTTCGATACAAGGGGGATATCAGTACCAGAACCAATCAGGGTACCAAAGTCCACCCACTGGTACGAACCAGACACCCGTACCACAAACTCCCGCACAAGGTTCTATAACAGCTGGTACACCTAACTTCACGAACCAAAACCAGAATAACCAGAAAATGATATCTTCATTAGAAACAATACCACAAGGCAGTATGATAGGGAGGAAGGGGTCGATTGTATCAGGCACCCCCATCACCAACCAAGCCGCCTCCCCCTACACACCCCCTACTGGACCATTCTCCCCCAACCATGGTTCACTCGCACAGAATCAAAATACAATAACAGAGAAACCTATCACAACAAACTTCGATAAAAATCAATTTAGCGAATACAATTTCATGAATAACGCAAATAACTTTTTAAATAACTCAAATATCTCATCGAATTACTCAAATACGCAGTTTCCAAATAACTTTGGTTCGATAACAAGTGGTATACAAATCACTAATTACCAAAACCAGACGGGATCTATTACTAGTGGGACTCCGATTGGGAATTACCAAAGTCAAAGTATGGGTTCGATTACTTGCGGGCAAACGCAATCGATTACCGCCTCGGGTATGTCCGGGTCGAATGGGTCGGGTATACCCGGGTCGGGCATCCCCAGCGGGTCTATAACCGCGGGAACGCCGTGCCAAGTGCAGCCGGGCGCCGCGTATAGCAACCAGACTCAGTACAACCGGCAACGCAAGTACTCCGGACCTCAAAGGGTTAAACTACAAATGTTAGCTACTGTACAGGAAATGGGTAAATTTTTGTTCAGTTTTTTTTAGTTTATTTTTAATTTGTTTGGTTTTTGAACGCGTGAAAGATGGAGGTTTGTAATTATTACTATAATAACTGTTTGCATGTGATAATTTTGCTATAATATTTTGGTTCAGTGTTTGCAATAGTTTTGCCTGTTTGTGTGTTTACTTTTTAACATGTTTTAGTGATTAATATAAAGAAAATTCACGTTTTTTTAGTTGAACATTTTATACAGGAAGCAATAGTAATATTTGGTCCCTTAAGCAGGATAAATTGTGCAAACATTTTATTTCCCATAACTATTTAAGGTAGTTTTGATATCACCATAAATAAACACTTTCCTGTTTAAGACTTTATTAATAAAAAAAACAATTACTTTCAATTTGCTCGTATTATTCAAGAGTCGTAACTTCATTTAAATGGTAACATTTCCATAATCATTAAAAGATACTTGATCTGTTAAGTTTAAATAAAGTAGTAGCATCATTATAACATAATTAATGAAGTTGTGTGACCGTACAGCGCGGGAGCACGCGGAGCGCTACTCGCCGGTGCGGCGCGCGGAGAGCTCCCCGCCGCGCGCCGCGCACGACCTCGCCTCCGCGCGCCTCGAGTACCAGCAGCTGCAGGTACCTCTGCGCTACTCTGCGCTACTCTGCGCTACTCTGCGCTACTCTACCGCTGCCTTTAACTGCATCCCTTCTATATCACATACCAGTTCATCGTCATCCACGTTAAATTAAAACTGTTACTGATAACATAACTTTTTAATGGTGAAAGAATTTCCCTAGCTTTTGAGTTATACTGAAAAACAGATATAATACAAATCTTTTATCTTTATATTATTACTAGCCTTCGTCCGCATGGAATTTAAAAAAAAAACAGAAAGTAGTCTATGTGTTCTTCCAGACTATTCTCTACATTTAGGCCAACCTTTATGCTACAAACTCTCACATCCATCCATTCATCCAAACTTTCGCATTTACAATATTAATATGATAAATTAAAACATAGGGAAAGTTATATTTTTGTCTCATTGTATGATGTGTGTACGTAGCGCGGACTGGAGCGACGGAGCGGCGCGGGCGCTGCCGGAGCATCCCCGCCCCGCCCCGACAGCAGACTGCATACGCCCAATACTTCCGTGCCAGGTAACGTATACACGAAATACAACAAAATACCATTAATAAAAAGTTACATAAAAGCCAATAGGTCAAAAAACGCTATGTTCATAAAAAAAAATGTATAGGTTCCCCACGGCACCTTGGCGCGCCGCCCCCGCTGGAGCTGAGCGCGCTGAGCGTGGAGGCGGCCCGCGCCGTGCTGTGCGCCGCGCGCGCCCTGCACGACCCCGCCGCCGCCGACCTGCCGCGCTCGCTCACACTCACACAGGTACCACACAACACTCACGTATACTAACACTCAACTTCCATAGAGACAAATGTTTTACCGACTGTTGTATCTCTAGGACTTGGCTCTGAAGATGGGCATCAACCTGCACAACCTGTGCTCGCCGCACGTCAACATATCGCAGGAGATAGTGCAGGCGCTGCACGCGGGCGGGCTGGCGCGCGCCGGACACGTCTCGCCCGCCAGCCCCGGCTCCCCGCTGCACCAGATCACCGAGGGCCTCAGCTACCTCCACACCGGCTCCATCACGCGCGGCACCCCCCAACCCACCGCCACTCCCCTCGACCTGCGCAGCAACCTCGACCTCGACCCCGCGTACCCCCAGCTGCACCCCATGGTGCACCCCCAGATACACATGGTCACACACCGCTCCCTCAACAACTCCCCCATATCCAACCCCGGATCCCCTCTCGACATGATAAAGGAGGAGACCGGCAACGGCGGTCACAACGGCGATACCAAAATCTTCGCACACGAATTAAGAAACGTCCAGTTCCCGAGCTACGTGTCCAATCATCCTCAGATCAGTTTGACGGACTGCCTCGGCTCCGAGATCACGCTGGTGGCCTCCTCCTCGGAGGACAGCGTCGACAGTCTGGAGAATGCCAAGTACCCTCTGCCGCAGTTCGTGATATCGGAGCCCTCCGACCTGGACGACAGACCCTCCATCACCAAGGGGATCGGGAGGAAAGTCAGCCAGGAGAACGAGACGCAGAGGGAGGTGCCGAGAGACCTGGAGCTAAATCTAGACAGAGACACGGAGATGCAGTCTCCAAGGGAAAGTGTGGACGAGACCAACAGGTTTCTGACGGAAGACGTGACGTACCCAAGACGGGGCAGTGATAAGTCTCTGGGCTTCAGTGATGACTCCCTTAGCAATGACTCTGCGAACGCATCCCCCAACTGCGAGCAGAACATCCAGTCAATATACTCGAATATTATATCAGTTAGTTCAGGGTTCAGTGAAAACAGAGGAAGCTTCTCCGAGCATAGAGAATCCTTCTCCTTCTCGGATAGAGGAAGTTTATCAGAGCGCGGAGACTTCGGACGGTCTTCGTTCTCTGAAAGAAGTGACTTGGGGAGAGGGAGTTTTTCAGAAAGGGGGGAAACTCCTCGGTCCTCTTTCTCCGCTCAAGGAGTCCTAGGAGAGGTGAAAGAGTACAATGAGGATGTGTGTATGCCGAGAGAGAGGTACGGTTTTGATCAGAACGAAGACCAACCTCGTCAGGAAGAAATTGAGAAATTGCAGCGGTCTACTATGGATTTACGTTTGACGGAGATCTGCAGACCAGAGGAGAGGATACCTATATTACTAAGTCCTCAGGAAATCTCCTGCTTTCAAGAATATATAGAAGTCGCTCTGTCTACTGTCTGTTCCCAACTCGATTCTCATCGGATAGTAGAATTATTAAAAGAAACAATTAACATGAGGGTTCCGCCGCAGAATATCTTCATAGAAACTGGAGATCAGAAGGAAATACATGATGATACGGAAGCACTAACCGGTTTCCTAAATCTAGAATATTCCGGTGGAATCCAGATCGAATTGATAATATGCGAGAATAAAACTAAAGAGAAGAAAGGTTTGAAAATGAGAAGGATTTCTGGTGATCAGAGAGAGTATGGGAAACTCTGCCAGCAGTTGATAACCAGTTTAACTGTATAACTTTAGATTTCCAAATATCGCTGTCTCTGTTACTCTCTCTGAAAAAGACAGAGATAGCATGTGTATGGAATTTCGCGGTTATCAAGATCCAATATTGATTTAATATTGGAATCTAAGTCCAAAATGTACAAGCAATTCTAATACATAAGTGAAGGGAAAAGAGTCTATATTCGTATAGATCATTTTTAATATTCTATTCCATTTTGTCGTTGAAATTTGTGATAATTATTGTTTTATTTGCATTTGCAATGTTATTTGTGTGAGTTGTAGGGGAATTTAAATATTGTCTTAAGCAGGAACTATTTTTTAAGCACTAAGTGCAAAAAATTATATAAATTTCAGGACTTATTAATTATGAAGGAATTTTGAGTGTGGTCCCGGATCTAATTTCACTCCCTTTCTCTTTACCACCCTTTTCTTATAAGAGGATGGGAAGGGGAAGTGGATTTGACGGTGGAGGAGATGCAGAAGGGGAAATATCCTCTTTATCTCCTCCGTCGTATAAGGGTAGGCAACGCATCTGCAATTACGGATGTCTATGGGCAGCGGTCGCTTTAAAAAAATCTACTATTCAATTTCATAAAACAGTATTTAAAAATAGTTGGAATAAAGAATAAAATATTGCTAAAGCCTTTTAAGAACATTTAGAAAAATTTTTCTCTGTATAAAAATTAGTAAGGCCTGAAATTATATATGCATTTTTAATAAAAAAAATGTACTATACAAGATATTTCTTGCTTACTTGACTGACTTGCAAACAAATTAAATCTTTTGCCATATTTATGCGTTATTCACGTGTACAATTATAATTTTAAGTATAACTACAAGGGACTCCACTAAAATATATTTACTGACTCACTCAGAGTCACTAAAGGACACCCTGAGTGGAGATTTCATACTAATTGCACACTTTAAATATTTTTTTAAGTACATGTCGATTTATTTGATTAAAGTTTTTAATGTCTACTGTGAAGTTAAATCTAAATGTGAAATGCAACTAATCTTTGTTATAGAAATCTCCACTAAGGGATATCTTTAGGGATCTGAGTGCAGCAGTCAGTGGACATGTACAGCTTATTTACCAATGTTAATATTATTTTTTGTATTATGTTAAGCTCCCATAACGAACATTTACTATTTATTCCAAAATGTTTAAGTTTTATGCTTTGTAAATATTTTTTTTTAAGTCTTAGATAAGTTGTATTTAGGTTTTTGTATATAATGAATTAGTTTTAGATAGATCGTGCCTTGACGGCAGGTCGAGAGGCGCCGGTTGTATGAAAATGTATGGATTGTATGGATTGTATGGATTGTATGGACGCTAGCGCGCGGGCGCGTTGCGGTACATAAATATATATGTAATTTACATTTAATTGTATATAAAGGAACATATACACAGACATATGAACAACAAAATATAGGACTGTGCAAATACGCTTTGTCATTTTTTTTTAGTTTTTCAAACTAAGCATTTTAAATTGTACCTTTTTAAATATACTACTGTTATAAAATTTGATACGAGGACTTTAAAAAATATGACGTCGATCGAGCGTTAATATGAGTAATAAACGTGAATTATTATAAAACGAATATACTAAGACAACAACGTAAAAGATATCGAATGTTCCGTGGTGACGACTAGAACTGTACTGAGCTACTGAGCGAGCGAATGAACTGAGGTACTGACGGCTACAGAGCTTGTTAGCGACTGAGCGACTGAATGCAACTGAACTGCCTCACTTCTTCCAAAGTCTTTTAACTACCCCCCACTACTACTTCCGTTTCTATTTTGTAACACTACACATTTGTATGTCTCGTTTGAAAACTAAAAAAATCTACTGAAGCGTATTTGCTTTTATAAGAAACCTATTTGGTATATTCGGAATTAAGGATATCAATAACTACAAGAGAAAATCAAAATTTCAATACGTTGAATGTTTTTAAATTACGCGAACGAATGATTTTTTTTTTTATTTCTAAGATATATGTGATATTTTCCCCTACGCTGGTCCGTACAGGAAAATATTATACTTTTATGTGTATATGCTCCTTTATTTTGTTTCCAGCACGAATTGTGTCTGTGTTGTCTTGTATAGTCCGAATGACTTATCTGATCCGGGAACTGAGACACTCAAATACAATAAAATCTATTAAATTATGAAAAGCGATTTAAAAAATCCCTTTGAAATTAATAATTGTCGAAATATCCTTGTACGGTACTTTTCTCAGTAATAGCTGAACGAGAATCGAGATGAGAACGCCTTAGTTCGGGCCAAATAAGTTAATCGGACTATTGTATCGACACCGTTTTTTGGTTGTTTTTGAGTGACGGATACTGATTGAAATTCATGTCGCAGAGATAACGTTAAATCCGCCGTAAAACAAAACAACCATATTAAATGGAATTATTACAACATAGATTTACTGTATTTTTACCAGACTTAGGGCCTGTCCCACCATATTGTAAACTGATAACAATCGTACGTGTAAAATATGTGATAGAAATATCCGATTTTATTCCCTTATCTGACTTGTAATTTTTATCTGAGCCTCTTATCAGCCAGTGGTGGGACAGGCCTTAAAGACATTAATCTGTGATAGAACCTAATTGGTAATATGGTTATATTAAATTCCGTCAAATTCAGCCTTCAAAAACCGGTATTAAATCTAAGGTTGGGCTCCGTCACTCAAAAGTAAACTTTACGCAACCAACGCATGGTAGATAATACTGTATTGCCATAAGATCGCCGTGTTAACAGTTTAAATATATCTTGTAAATAATATTTTAATAAATAATTCCAATTCCAATATGTTAATTTTATTGTTTTATTGCATATTTAACATCAATTAAAAATATTTTACACAATTAGACTTATTTATTTTGAAATACTTTGAAAACACATTTTAGGTAACCTTTTTTACCCTGGTGTAATTTTACCCCAGTGTTGTTTAAGTAAATAAACAATTTATGATGTTAGAGTGGCTGGGAGTGTTGTTCCTTGCCCGCCGCCTGGAAATAAAAGAAAACAAAGTTAACGCACGAAAATATACCAAAACAATGCGTTGAACTCGTCTGCACTCTTTTACATCTTTGTTATTGCATAAAAAGTGACCAACGTACAAGTGGCCACCGGAAGTTGCCAATTTCATTAAAAAAATTAACATCATGATAAGTAAAAATTTATTCTGCTTGGAATCGCACGAGTTGCAGAATGTTTTATTTTATAATATAAGGTGGCAAACGAGCAAGCGGCCACCTGAATCCTCCGAAATGGAAAGCGACCGCTGCCCATAGACATCCGCAACTAAAGATGCGTTGCCTACCCTTCATTGACGGACAAGGAGACGCACATAAAGAGGACCTTCTTATGTTAAGTGTGTAGTGTGAGGGGAATCCCTTGAACCCTCGTTCAGCAATTCAAATACAGCTGCCAAAAATACGACGACAAATAGATGTCAAGCATTTGGTATCCATTCAAACCTGTTCCTCCGCCAGCGTCAGGCGCCGCGGTGCCTGCATCAGCTACTGTGCTTTTAGTTGACATCGGCTTCCACATACTGAAATTATTATGAACATCAAATATTTATAACAATACTTCCTTTTCCCAGTGACTCCTTCCGCGTAGAAATGAAAAAAATTAAAAGTAAGTAGCCCATGTAGTAGTAGTAAGTAAGTATTCTAGACTATCCACTACATCTATGACAAATTTCATCGAGATCCGTTTAGCAGTATAGGCTACAAACTCTAACCAACATCCATCCATCTAAACTGTATAATAAATACAATAAATACTTACATGACTTTCTTAGGTGTCGGTATATACCTCGCAGCTATTGCTCTAGCCTCCAAAATCTCTCTGTAACTCAGCAATATATTTAATATTTTTATCACACTTTAACCTATTTTATTTAAAAAATGTGGATATTAAAAGATTTCTCAAAATCGTAATAAAAAAATAATCATCTGAAAGTGTCGGATGTGAGCGATGACCTGAATATCAAGTTTGCAAATAACCGCCACCTAACACTAGATGGCGCTGAAAGTATGAAAATTGTAACAAAATGTAAAATACTTGAGCAACTTGACGCTGATCTGTGCGGAGGGCAGGCGCGCCTCCGTTGGGTTGGAAACCACGATGATGGACTCGTCCGTGATCTCCCTGGGACCCCACTGGTCCTCCTCGCCGTTAAACTCGTTAGACGCCACGTCGTAGTAGAAATCATTCGGGTGATCCTAGCAAGAATGTAAAATATGCTTGTAGCTTCCGATTTGATTAATAAAAATATCCAGTATAGAAATTAGTAAACATGTTATTAAATTTGATCAAGAGTCCCTACAGACTAGACTTTTTATTGGCCGATTTTTTTTTATAATAAAGGGGGCCAAACGAGCGGCGAGAACACCGAAGTGGTCAGCGACGCCCATGGACATCCGCAACACCAGAGGAACTACAGATGCGTTGCCGGCCTTTGAAGAAATGATAGGCACGCTTCTTGAAGGACCCTAAGTCGTATTGGGTTTGCAATACCGCCGAGGACAGACAGGCAGAGGACAGATCGTGAGCCACGGTAATGAAGAATCTTTAGTGACAATTATGGTCTATCTATAAAACCTACCGTGAGACGAGTGAGTGGCTTTGCACCAGCTCAACTGCTTGCTCTCACTTATATCCATTCACGCGCAGATGAACTTTGGCTATCATAAAACCTACCAGCGCCAAACTGGGGAATGCTAGGAACGTGTCGGCAAACTTCATGAACCGTCTGCGTGGCATAGACCTGCGCAGGTAACGCAGCACGGGGCGCGCCACGCCGCGCTGCAGCAGCGACAGCAGCCGCAGAACCTGCTCCACATCCCAGCCCTCCGCGTCCCTATAGCCCAACGGCGCTTGGACGATAGAGGCTGGTACAAACAAAAAACAGATTTAAAAGACGGCTTTAACAACGACATAAGGGACACTGTGGCGACCCTTAAGATTCGGGCCCTGGGCAGTTGCTTTAGCCTAATGGTACAAAGCCCAGTGTTTTTTCGATACAATTGCTTACCCTTGATCTTGATAGGCGGCAATTCCTTCAGCTCATTGAAGAGCCGGTTCTTGTGGTAGTGAACCAAACGATCCAGCCAGCCGCCGCGCTCGATGTTCACGCCCAGAGATGTCGACACACACAGTAATAGCACACTGTTCTAAATCACAAACAAATGTTATTTGTCCATGATCTAATCTAAAGATGAAGTATTTTTATTTTAATAAGTGAAAAATTACTGGACCGATTTCAAAAATTCTTTCACCATTAGACATTACAGAAGGCTGCGTTATCAATAACTTGGCTGTATTTATTCTTTGATGTTTTGTTAATTCGTCGCGATCTAAGTAAATAAAATAAACTTACAACAAAGAACATTTTAGATCTGAGAACTCAAAACATGGTTTAATTCGTGTATTACCGTAAAAGGTTATTAAACAACTTTAATTAGGTGTTAAATTAAAATTAAGTTTACTGTTAAAAGGGGTGTAAAATGTTTAAAAAAATATGCATAATGTAACGTAGTATTTAAAATTTAATAAACTCTGTTTTTTATCAGGACATCGTAAATAATAATAACGCTACTGGTGCTGCCATCTATCGAATTGTAAAAGTACATATTGCAGCGCTGATCTTACAACCGTATTTATCCGTCAATTCAAATAACTAATGATATATTGCAGGTTTTAGAGGCTGGCAAGATGTAACAAATTTTACACATATCTTATTTTTAAATATTCCATTAGGATTAAGGGACTTAAATCTACCAATGTAGGATATAAAAGTGAATTTATATTCTAGAAAATTACTTTCTACTTGTTCTGTCCCCTTTGAAAAACGGTACGCGTAATCTAACATCAGGTTGCTTTCTGTTCCATTATCTTAATTTAATAGGTGTCTTTATTTTAATGAAACAAATAAATTCTTTAACCAATTTATTTATGTTTTAAAAGTACATTGTTTCTGTTATAATTATTTTCCTGTGCATTCATTTTATATTGTTCCTTTCAAATATGTTGTCTTTTCCAATTTCAAAACTTGGTCTTCTAGCTCCTGGAAAAATATAATTGAGAATATTTTTTTGTTATTATACATTGTCCAGTCCACAAGTTTAAACTTACAATTTTGTGGTTGACGGTGTGGATCTTGCCGCTTTAGCTCTTGCCTCCATTGTCTCCCTGAAAGACACAATTAATATAACTACTGGAATTTTGAGCACTAAGTACTAGTGTTGTCGAAATTGTGACATCTTTATCACTCTCTTAAAAAAAAATAGAGATAGCAACTTTTAATGCAAATGGTACAGTGGCAATTTCTGGATACAGATTATATTAATATGCTTCTACCATTCTTTGCCTACACTGATCTGTACAAATGGATAAGCCATTGAAATTGACAGTATATTTTTGGTCCCACTTAAACTTGTTCAAGTACCTGAGTAATTTAACACTGATTGTGTCTGCAGGCAGGCGTGCTTCTGAAGGATTGGTGATGACTATAACTGAGTTGTCTGCATTTAAACCGGAGTTCCATGTTTCTTGCTCATTATGTGTGGCATCCATGTCATAGTAGATATTATTTTCATGGTCCTAGGGAAGATAAGTGTTAAAAATATTTATAAAATGTATTTTTGTTAAAACACTACTTTTATAAAAATAAGTAAATAATGATTGCAACTTTAAATTTTAATATTCAAATTTAAGATCTATTCATAAATAATTGCGTTATTGGTTAGATTCATAGAAACCAATCTGTGCTACAACTCACCTCACACTCAACATCATATAAACATTGTAAAATTGCTGGGGTATAAAATAAATACACTAAAATACGAATTAGAAAATTTATTACTATTTTGGTATATAACCCCTTTCTATTTTAACATCATCAACAGGACAGTCATTTTTATCACATTCCACTAAGCCTATTCGTTTAACAACTGGCATACCACCCTGCACTCTCCCGAATATTGTATGTTTACCATCTAACCACTGTGTTGGAGCTAGAGTTATAAAAAACTGTGACCCATTAGTACAAGGACCAGCATTTGCCATAGACAATATACCAGCTCCAGTATGTTTCAAATCATTGGTTATTTCATCATCGAACGTCGGACCATAGATCGATTGGCCACCTTTTCCGGTTCCCGTAGGATCGCCGCCTTGTATCATAAAATCTCTTATTACTCTATGAAATTTCGTATTATTGTAATATCCTCTTCGTACTAATTCCATGAAGTTTCTGCAAGTATTCGGTGAATGTTTCCAGTACATTTCGACTATGATCGTGCCCATTGTAGTCTCTAGGACCGCTACCGGTGGCTGCCAGGATTTATCAGGGATTCCGACATTGGAGTAGCCCAACATTACGTATTGTGGAATTTGTCTTGAAGGTGAATTGCTGAAGTGTTTGTTATTACTTCGTTATAAGTTTTATAATTAGGATATTGGTATTAAAAAACAAGAAACACTTTTATAACAGCATCAAAACATAACCTAAAAATCAACAAATCAAGCACTTTTGACACTTGTCATTGCTCATCCTTGTCAAACTTTTAGAGGGAACGAGATATAAAATCGATTTGGTATTTTCTCGATGTTAAAATTAAAACCAATAATACGTGATAAAATACTCACACGAATTTTTACATTGTATTAATTATCAATAAATTAAATTAAATGTAAAAGAATTATTGAAATGATGAAACTATCGAGGTGTTTTTTTATGGAAGATTTTATTAGGTCGTACATATGGGCGCATATTGTATATCATTCGTAAATGAAAATATTAGGCACATGAAAATATAAACCTTAATGAGAACTTACTTGAGATAAGCTAGGGAAAGCTTTTAATGAATCTGCATAATTCATAAATCGACGTCCAGGCATGATTTGCTGTTGTTCAACTTCAGTCTCTGCTTTTTGGCTTGCGCGTAACATAGAAGTTAGACGCAATACCGATTCAACATCCCAAGCGGCGGAGTCTACAAAACTATCTCGGGCTTTCTCAATTGAGGCTAAAATGGACTTTTCCTTACTTTATTTTTAATCACAAAACGAATACTATAATTACATCAAAGTACTATTTTGTATAAATTAACGAAGCATATCTTACCTTTATTGGATAAAAATGTCAACTCGTCATGGAAATCTTTCTTAATTTTGTTAGCCAGGCAGCCCCTTAACAGAAGATTGATGCTGACCGACACGGTACATAACGTTACAATGCTTTTCTGTTTCATTAGGTAAATCATAACATTCGTTTTGCATAACTCTCTTCATGCGTTGGCTCTGAATTTTTCTAAATATCATTCGAGACATTGTAAACATGAAAACTTACGACTGTATCCATTATTTTTAAAGCAAATACACATGAAACTTTTTATACACTTTTAATATATTCAATCACGTGTGAAATTGAAATTTAATTAAAATTTAACGTGTTTTATATTGCCATTTTCTATTTCTAAATTAACGACATAAATTGTTACTTGTAATCGAAGCCCACATACTTTCTCTTATAACATCAAAGCAATGCTCAATGTATTTAGCCAACAATTTAAGTATACATTTTAGTAAATAAGTAACCCTTTCAATCAATTAAACATCCCTTTTAGCATCGATTTTTCAGGACCTATCGTAAACGTACATCTTTAGTTAAATGTCAAATTGATTTACACGTTGACGTCAATTTGACATTGACATTATCTGACTTGTGTTTAGAGGACGTGTCGATTGATTTTGTAAAATAAAATTTAAATAGTTTATCCTTATAAATCATTTAAATTTTGCCTTTTATGAAGCATTACATATTAGTGCAGCGGTGTAATAAAATTTGATTCTTACCATCATTGATTTATCGAAACTGGTTCGATTCGATACACCTGGAGCGTAAACAAAGACATTTTTCGTAATAATAACAATGAATGTGTCGGTTCTAAGGTGTAAATGTGTATGAGGGGTGGTGTTTTGAACTTATTAAGGATCTTAATGCGAGGGAAGTGCCTCAAGATGACCGGGGTGAGCAGGGACGCGCCGATCGGTATACAATGTTTACAAAAATTAAGCGGATGGTTGTGTCCGCGAATGCAAATCAACAGGTTAAGATGGTAAGTGAATATTTACTGTTTAATTATACGCAAATGTTCAATAATTTTGCAGTTACCAAATAAAAAAAAAACATTAACCTTGCTACTATATGATTATGTACAATGTACTATATGACATTGAAAAACACCTATGCATTTAGAAATCACACTGACGTGCTGAAACATTTAACTAAATTCACTTACGTTTTATTTAGACTTTTTATACATCTGTGACAAATTTAATCACAATCCCTTGAACATATAAGCAATAGATTTATGTCTGAAAAATATTTCTTGCAAATACTAAGATTTTCTGATTAGTTAAATTTTGTTCATATTTGAAACTTTACATTTCCATTCCAATGTTATTAATATTTTTAAATTATCATAAACATGCAATAACAGCATCAATTATGTGGTAATATAATTGAATTGTGGCTTTAAATGTTAAAAGATATAGATTATTAAATGTTTTGATTAAATATGATACAACACAATTCATCATCATCATCACCAGCTCACTATGCGTCCCCACGGGGGGCTCGGAGCCTACCCTAAAGTTGGGGTGACTAGGCCATAGTCAACCATGCTGGCCAAGTGGGGGTTGGTTGACTTCACACATATCTTTGAATTTCTTCGCTGATATGTGCAGGTTGCATCACGATGTTTTCCTTCACCGTAAGAACGTCGGGTAAATTATATACAAATGAAAATTCGAATAATCGAAAATCACATTGGTACATTGGGATTTGAACCCAAGACCTGTAGATTACAAGTCAAGTGCTTAAACCACTGAGCCACCGATGCTCCTACACACAGTTAGCTGAGTCATAACATCTGCCATGTTTTGTTGACACAGCTATATATTACATGTTCCAAATACCTATCTTGCATTATCATTTTTATTCCATAAATATGTCTGTATACAAAATACTTTGGAACACTCCATGTAAATGCCGAAAAGGTTGCTTAATATAAACAGGATATCCCTGGATATAAAAAAAAATCTGCTTGACTAAAATAAAAAAGAAAAATTTGTAATTTATATATTTGGCAAACATATTGTTAAGATGTCATTATAATTATCTATTTGTGTGTTACACAAGCATACAGTGACCCAAATACTTAAATATTTAAAATAGATTTCTTTTAAAGATATTTTCACAGCTGTTTCTAGAGAATTGTAACAAATGGACAACTGTATATTTTGATTAACTTTAGTGATTCTATGTTAAAATTAATATGTACTCTTATTAATTGTTTTCCTTGAAATTGTGTTGAGATTTTTGTGGATTTATTTCCTATGGATATTAACTACATTTGCACTTGACAACGGTCTACAGCCCAGACGGCAGGAGATTATCTTTTGAAGATTCCGCCCTTACCTCCCTGACCCCCTATACAAAAAAAGCGATCCTAACTATCCAATAGATATTGGTGCCTTACAGCTTATGGTATCCACTTAGTGTTACAAGTGAAAAAAGGTACTGTTTCATTAAATAAGACATTGATTTATGTTTTTTGTTATTCACTCTTTTTGATAAAATATATGATAAAAATGTATAAGTGATAAACACAACAGTGAAAATTAATATAATTAAATTGACTGATAAGTTGCGTGTTGTCGGCGAGCCTTTGTTAATTCCGGTGCTGTAGATAATCAGAGTATGACGTGCTATATGTCTGCAAATTAAATATGTAACAGTACTCCGTTTATATTTACTGGCGAAAAAAAACTCCGATTATAAATACAATCTATCTAACTAATATTATAAATGCGAATGGATGGATGTATGTTTGTTAGTTATGGTTATATATGGTGGTAGTTGTTAGGATGTTAGTTATTATGTTTTGAATGAAATTTGGCATAGATGTAGAGCAGAGTATGGAAGAACACATAGGGTACTTATTTTTGTTTTTTTTAATACCACGCGGACGGAGTTGCGGGCGAAAGCTAGTGTTAAATAGTTGAAAAAAACATTAACAAAAAAACAGGAATTAACAGTTTATCATGGTAGACATGGCTAGACTACAGAAAAATAACTTAAAAAAAATATTCATGTCAATATATACCTTTCTCACTCTTTACCTCTCTTTCTTGTAACGAAGTTAGCTTTCCCAAAGCGTCCTTGAAATTTTAGTCAACGTAAATTTTAACCATCTACTCGAAACTTCTGAATTGTAATGTATCATTTTTTTTTCTTGTGCTGTTCTTTTACCTCAATAAATAAAAAAACCGACGTTTCTAAACAAATCATGCAAAACATGCATAATCTTGAATAAATTTGTACATACGGCATATTTTACTTTTATCATAGTTGACCTGAAACGTTGTATTTGTTCATACTTATGTCCTAAATAGTGATAGCATAGCAACAACATGCAAGTATATGATGTCATTTATAACTTAGGAAATGTTTTGAATTTGTGTTCATTGATTTTAAACCCGAGTAGGTATTTCAACGTGTGACGGCGGATGTCATACTATCTCGCTTACTCTACAGGCAATGGCGGCGACGCTAGGACCGTTAAAGTCGCTGCCAGTTTTTAAGAATATTGCTGTTGCTTCTGACTTCGTCTACGTGGAATTAAAAAATAGTACCAAATAAGCCTATGTTACTCAGTAATAACGTACTTTATAATGGTGAAAGAATTTTTAAAATCCGCTCAATCGTTTTAAGTTATTTAAATACATACAAAGATTCAAATTATAATATTAGTATATACTAGCTGTTCCCATGCGACTTCACCCGCATAAAATTATAAAAATTTCATTTTATTGTTCACATTTGTCAAATTATCAATTGCAAATGTCAAAATGACACGACATGATGTCAAACCATAGCAACCTTGCTTCCTTGATGTTGGCAGCGACTTATTGTCTCTTTCCCACATAAGGGTTTTTATCCAAAATATTTACCCCTAAGTTTAACGGCGTGAAAATATATAGCCTAAAGCATGACGTAAGTGTAGGGCTTTTTATTAAAAAAAAGTTACTCAAAAATATGCTGTGTTTGCTGACATCTTAGGCAACAAAGAAGTGTGTGTTTACGCTTTATTATATTAGTACAGATAAAAGGTTGTGTTGACGAGACTTAGTTCTGGTATTTGTCAATGAAATAAAACGTTTCAGTGTTTTAGAACACTACTGTCACCACTTTTAACAATTTCATTTCTTTCTTGGGTTTTGTTTGTTGTGATAAGATCAACGAATCTTTATTTCTTTCCTGATTTTAATTCATATCTTAAAAAGAAAGTGTCTTAAGGTGTGGTAGCAAAATCGCAGAATATAGAACATGCATTATTCGTGTTAGAATTCCGGTGCCTGCCGTGGTACGCATCGGTAATACGACTCCGCGCTTGTGAGGTTTCCACAGCCTGTGGTCAGACCTGCCCTCGATATCACATAATACGATGTAAAGAAACTATACCTGATTCACGTGGATTGTTTCACTGATTAAAATCTCATCGTAATCCTTTTTGACTTAGGGTCTAGCATTAACTCTAGTTGGGACTAGTTTGTTACGGTAACAGTCGTAGTACTCATTTTATACGGATTATATATTATTTTAAAAATGCGATTTCAGTTTGATTCGTTTTATCCAAAGACCAGATTACCGTTAATTCGTATTCGCCCCGTTAAATTAAATTAATTTGTAACGGGTCGGGAGTCGCCGCACATTATAGTAAATAATTTGGAGTAACAATAAAATGAAAGAGGCAGATTTTTCCACCACGAAGATATAGATTTCTGATAACGTCATTGCATTTGCAAATAATAAAGCATCAAAACAGACGGTGAAAGCTGTATAAGATACACTTACAGTGGTCTATGTACATTCAATACCCAAAGTGATCCGTCATCTCGGAGAAAGTATACAGTGCACTTTGTGTCAGCGACTGACCCGTGTATGCCATGTACAAAGGCTCGCATTAACTTTCTTGCAGTCGTGTAAACGCGAAAGTTGATGACTGTAATTGTTTGATTTGCAGCAAATGAAATGTTTGAGATCTGTCTTTTCAGTCTCGATCTAATGTATTACCTACTTTCTTTTAAAAATGTTCAACTACTTCATAAGTACCGATCGTGGTACGGCCTTCGAATCTATTTTCTACAAGAGTAATCGATACTGGCTAAAATTTTCGATGACGATAATGCCATTTTACTACAAAACTTTTTTAGCTTGGTTTACCTAATAGCTAAGACTACCAAGTTAGGAACTTGAACGAATTAGATAATTTCTTCAACAGAAAGATTCTCTAGTTTA